CTTGTTTTCGTATTTCCTAGCAGCTTGGCCTTATCTTCATCTCTCCTTTTACCTCAGGCTACCAGATTTCAAGTCCGGCCCACTCCAGGCCAGATATCTGAGAGTTGACTTTTTCTCTGGCTCTTTGACAGGTGCTGAAGTAAGAAGTGAGAAGACTTAATTCTGCACTGTGGCCATTGTGTGTTCAGAATTGTAAGTCACAAGATGATAGAAAATTGCAGAAACAACTTTCTCCTCAAACCAGAGCCTTATTTAAAGCCGGGTTGATTTGAAAGTCGCATCCAAGGAGAGGCAGATTGCAGTAACTTCAATGCACAACCTGTTCTAGAGCTTACCAACAAAATAGTGAAGCCTTTATGATTCAGAATGTGTTGCCTGCATGCCCTGTGCGCTATGTAGGGCTATATGTGCACACCCCATTTCGCAAGGTCATGCCCAGAGTAATGGTAATTGTATCTGGGTTTTTTTGCTATTTACTTTTGGTTTGCACTGATGTCACTGAGATGGCAATCTGTTCTAACTCTTACAGAGGCTTGGATAATGGAAAATGTTCTTTTTGTTCCTTGCTCCCCTTTATTTGCCTGCTAACATTGCCATTTGGCTTCTGTCCTGCTCTGGGATATTCTGGTAGGAACTCCCTGTTTCTGTTGCTGGATTGGGGTCAGGAGGTGGTATGAAGAAAGGTGCAGAAGCAGATAAACTGTCATAAAAAAAATAGTTGTAAGAATGAATACTAGAATGTATATTTAGAAATCCATTTAGGTCTCACCATCTTGCTTAAAAAGGGAATTGGATAATAATACCTGACTGGGCAATACAGTTAATGAAAAGCATTGAAAGTAAAACTTAACCAAATGTAAAAGTTGAATTTTTAATGTGAGCTTTGCTTTTCCGGTAAGCTTTTAAAACTCTATTCTCATTTTAAGCAATCTACTGATACATTTAACAAATGTCAAGATGAAATGCTTCAACAGAGATCAAAAAGTCTGAGGGTTTTATTGTACTGCTCTTACAGCACTGATAGTCAGTATTGAACTCTCATGCTAAGGATCAATAGCTTTATTTGATCAAATGTGGTGAACTATCAAAGACATTGGGCTCTATCTAAAGGACACTTCAGATTGAGTTGTCTCCCTTGAGAGCCCTAGGACTCTTGAATTTGTGCTTTGATATTTGCTCGTGTCCCAGCTATTTTGCAATGTTGTTGTTTTTATTTAGAAAGACAAGTATTGTTGTGTATTCATGAGTATTCTCCGTGCCCTGCCTTGGCATGTGGAGATCAAAGCTACTGATTGCAAGGCAGGTGCTGATCACAGCAATGAGTCTCAGCTAGTCTCTCAAAACAAGCAAGTTTGCAGATGACACCAATTTGTGTGATGCAGTCAGTGCAACAGAAGGAAGGGATGGTATCCAAAGTGACCTTGACAAACTCAAGAGGTGGGCCCATGTAAGCCTAATGAGGTTCAACAAAACCAAGCGCAAGCTGTTTGCACTTGGGTCAGGGCAATCCCAGATGGGGAAGAACTCAATGAAAACAGCCTTGCAGAAAAGGATTTGAGGATCCTGGTGGACAAAAGCTGGACATGAGGCAGCAGTGTGCTCTTGGGGCCTCAGTGATCAATAGCATCCTGGACTGCAGCAACAGGGGGATGGCAGCAATGTAGGGAAGGGACTATCCCCCTCTGCTCTGCCCTTGTGAGGATCCATCTGGCGTACTGCATCCTGGCCTGGGTTACCCAACAAAGGAAAGTTGGCAAGCTGTTGGAGAGTGTCCAGTGGAAGGCCATAAAAATGCTCAGAGGACTGTAGGCACCTCTCCTACGAAGACAGGCTGACGGAGCTTGGTGTATTCAGTTTGGAGAAGGGAAGGCTGCAGGAAGAACTCATTATGACCTTCCAGTGCTTGAAGTGCTTGATATAAACAGGAGGGAAATTCAATCAGGCCTGGCCATTGACGGCAGCCAACAGACTCTGCTTTCAGTCTTTTTTTTATATATATATTTTCTCACTCCTGGATCCTTTGTGTGCAGCATTTTCCTGTGCACAACTGTGTGGAAAAGACGTTTTTGTGCTACATTCAGTTTCCAGGAGAAGCCGAGCCATCCCCATGCTGGCTGGGGAGGCAGAACATGGAGAAAACAACCCTTCCCCCAGGCTGCCAGCTGAACAATCTGCCTCACAAATTCCACAGTCCCTCCCACCCCCACAGTTAATGGTTTCAAGCTCTCAGCTGATGAACTTGGTATAAACAGTTGTTTTTTTATCAGTAGAACTGCTGAAAGAGGAAAGTGGTGGGAGCTGGGTAGGAGTGGTTTGGGGAGAGGAGAACAACAGCTGAGGGCTGAGAGAATGCAGAAGAAACATCAGAATTAAGCTTTCATCCTCACTTTTGGTGAACTTGGCTGAAGCAACTCCTGCTGTGTAAAGGCCCAGAGGTATTGGTCTCACCTGGGGCAGAGGGGAAGGTGATAGCAGGTGGAGAGGGTAGGAAAAGCCCTCAAAGCCATGTTCTTCCCCCCTAGCAGAGCAGTGTGAATTACAGCTGCTTTTAAGGGTGAAGAAATGCTTCAGCTTCTCTGCTATGCCATTGCTGTATCAATTTGGCAGCACACGTGTGGGTCTGCATAGGATGAAAAAGCAGGTGAGAAAACCCCATCTGCATGGGCTGTGAAATTCCAGTAGCTGGTTAGCACACGAGCTTTGAGTGCAAAGTTTTGCTCTGAGGAGATGATTGCAGTGCTCATTACAGAGGAGGCCAAACCTACCTGGTCTCCAAGCAGCTCTCAAATCTGTTATTCAAACCACGTGAACTCAGAGCTGTGAGTGACTGTGCAAATTAAGTGGAGGTACGAGGCCATGCTAGCAAAGGGCTCACAGCTCGTAGTCTGTTGGGTTACAACATGCTGTTGATAAGGTTTTGATGCTGAGATGCAGAACGTAATGGGATAGATCTGGGCCAGAAGAAATGAGCTTAAGATGTGATTTACTGTGACCTGTTCCAGTTTGCCTGTGCACAAATTACTTCCACCAGAAGGCTGTTACAAAGAGGAATGCGGCTCTTCTCTTTTGTCCTCGTCCTTTGCTGCTTTCTCAGCTGACTGATTCATTTTGGCAGAGGGGAGTGAGACAGGAGATTGGGAACACAGCATAGACATGAAGGCTCCTTCCGCTGCACCCGTGGTCTTGGAGGCCCAAGAGGATGAAGATTTGAAGAAATGTTTCAGGAGCACATTAATGATTCCTCAGTGAGCATGGTTTCAGGCCACTTGTCGCAGCAGAGTTTGTTCATTTTTGTACCAAACTAAAATTGGCAACCAAATCCTTGGTCTGCAAGCCAGAGTTCCCCAAATGTGAAAACATCTTGAATTTAACGTAGCTCCAATGTGATGCAACATAACAGGAGAAATGTAGCTGTCCTTGCATTAGGTGTGAGGAGTGGTTTTGTCCAGCATTCCCTTAGTGCTTGCTCTACAGATGTGATTACAGCTCTGAATGCCGTTTTCATGTCTCTCCTGTGGTGCTATGAATGAGATGTTAATTCAGCTTTACAAACGTGAGCAGAGCTTGGTATTTTTGAGCTGTGAGTTCCAACTGTGCTGTTAGCTTAGACCTGAGGAAGTCTGGAGAGCAGAGGTTGACGACAGACCAGCTTCTTCCTCCTGGGTGGGCAAGTTACAGAAAAAAAAAGAAGGCAGAAGATTGAGGCATGGAACCATCTTAACTTCTGTTTGTGAATGTTGGCTATCTGGTCATGATTTTTGGCCAGCTGCTTTCTTGTAGTTTTATATTGAAATATGGAATACACTGATAAATGGTGGTCTTTGGTTTCTTCACTTTGTTCCCATGTCAATAGATTTCACGCTATTCTCATGATGTTGCATGAAGTGGGGGAAAGGATATTAGAATGCTGCTAGAGTCCATGAGACAGAATCATCATCTTCAAGGTGATGACGATATGGGTTTTGAGGATGCTGGGTGAGCGGAGTGCTGCTTAGTATCATACATCAGGGCCTGCAAGTTGGAAGGCAAAAAAGCTATAAATAACTGAAATCCTGTTAGGTTAGGTAGAGCATTAGGCCTGTGCTTCCTGGTTATAGCTCAGTGGAGCACTAGATTGGAGGAGGCTCGTTCACCACTGAACAAACTCTGTATTTAGGAAGGGGCATAGACAATTGTAGAAAGTTCTGTGAAGGGAGATGATTCCACAGCAGAAGTTGGTTAGAGTTGGAACCCAGGGCTGCTGCTCTCTTTTATGCGAGTTCTTTGCAATTAAAATGGACGTGAACAATGAATCTAAACAGAACCAAAAGTGAGCTGCACACAAGTAACTCTTCCCCACTGACAAAAATGTATTCCATGCAGTAGGAATTGTATGGGAAATGTTGAGTCATGGCCTGAACCATTGATTGATCACCTGGGGAAAGGACCAGGTCAGCCCTGAGAACTTAGGTGAAGGCAATTTAGCTGTGTGACCAGAAGGGGTGGAACCTGGCTCTCTTAGACCTCATTTAAGGGCTGATTGCCACAGGGGAAGGATTTCTTTATAGAAGAATCTGGAAGTTTTCCCTTATGAAGCTGGTATCTTCTGATACAGGTCAGCAATCTTCTTCCCTTCCTTTATAGCACCTTTCAGTCGTGCTGGTCCTTCTGTCATCACACCTCTGTTTTAATGTGTTTTTCATTATATTGATCTGCCTAATTGCTTTAGTAATCCATGCTGATTTAGCTTTCTCTGTTAATATTTCTCAGTGATACTTTTCCTCCAGTGCTCCTTAGTGTTGATAGTTGTACCATAACAAACTGAACTCAACTGAAAGTCACACAGGAATAGCAGAGTTCAAGGGCTTGATGCAAGGGTCTGAAACTTGACCTCAGCCACCCACACGCTCCATTGTTATTCAGGGCAAATTATTCAATCTTCTGACCTCTTTTCTGCAAAATAGGGTCATATCTCTGCCTGGTTTAGTTCAGATAAGGAGCTTATACCTGCCTCGTGCACACGTGTCGTCATGCACAACAGCTTCTGGATTTTAGGGGCAGCTGCTGTGACTGAGAAGTGAGCAAATGCTGGAAATAGCCATTCTGTTGTCTTGGAAGTCTTTGTGTCTTCATTCTGAAAAGCTGGATCTCTGTGTGCAGCGATATCTTGAATAAGGTAGGAAGGCAAAGAAGTGTTCCTTGCCAGCTGCCTTGGACACAGAAATAGTTATTTTCTTAAGCAGACTTACTAATTATGTAGGTTTACCAAATAATTTGGCTAAAATCTGCTTGGTTTCTCCAGCCTCTCTCGATTTCTATTAGTAACTGTTTGTGATCAGTTTTAGTGCTTTCCTTGTCTTTCAGGTGCAGTGCTATCTGTATACCTGCATTTGCAGATGCAAGTTGGTCTCAGCTCAATATATTCACTGGGAGAACAAACAATTCAGCAGGATATTGTTTAAATATGCACTCAAATTAGCAACAGTTTAAGAACGTTTACATTTTGTATATAGAACAGGAGATGCAAAGATTGAATGGAGAGTAGCCTAATCAAGTGCACAAATAAAACTGTCTTAAATGTCATCACATGGGTTAGTACCATTTAAAACCTCAAAAAGAAGGTCTACTTTGCTTATAGGAACTGAATGAGTCTTGTATCTCTTCATAGGGATAAATTTTATCTTATGGCAGTGCCCGTACTGATTGAAATAAACTGCTCTGGGGAGTTAACGTGCTTGTAAACATGCATACTGACTGCGTGAGAACTTACATTACAAAAGATTTCTCTCCTGGCACGTGCAGCTTCATTCACACAGTAAAAATGTTATTGGTTTGCATATTCTAGCGGAGAACTGCTGAGCAGTCAGAGTTGCTCTTGAAAACAGTGTAAAACCCTGGTCTGAGCAAGTGTTAACTGCTCAGATCCCAGGCACTGGAAATTAAACACTTGAAGTTAGTGGTCTCCCTTGACCACAAAGGACCTCTTTCTCTCAGTTTGCTGCCAGTCATCTGGACATTATGTCTTTTATCTCTTAGAGATGCTGTGAAAAATAAATTGTTTCTGAAAAAATAAATTGTTTCTGAAAAACTCAAAAATAGAGTGCTGAGAGCAATAAAAATCCCTGTGAGGAGCTTAATTGTGTCTTCGGGGAAGGTTTAGAGTAATATGCTGTAAATAAGGTGTAGGACCTCACACTGATCCACGGGGGAGGTGATAAAGTACTGAACAGCTCTTGGTCGAGAGAGGAGAGCTTACTTTGTTCATCATGGTCTCTACATTTGGAGAGAGCACAGAAGAGGTGAAAGAAGGGTACAGTCATGGGAGATGGGACTGATTGGCACCAGTGCAATGCAGCGAATGTAAGGATGTACCAGACAGTGTCAAAAAGATATTCTCTGTCAGTTTTGAGATCTTCACTTCTGAAATTGACTTTTTGGTGAATACATAGTTTTCTCATAGGAGAAAACTGCTCCTGTCCCATGGAGTTATTGTGTTATCTTGAGTTATTTGCTACCAGAAGTTCTGAATCCTGCCCCTTCCAAAGCATCAGGTGTAAAGGGGATCCATCACTTGGCAGCAGTAGCAGATCATAATCCTGTAAGTTTAGCAGTCACTAGAGGGAGATACAGTGCTTTTAAGGCTTGAAAACAAAGGATTTATTTTAAATGGCCTCATGGACTGCAAGAAACTACCACACTACTCTTGCCATTACCTGATAAAACTTCTTGATGTGCCTTGTAAGAATGTAATCCATCGAGAAATAAGAGATAATGACATAAACTGCACCATGTGGATAGCTGGCTGTCATATGTTGCAAATGGAGGATGCTAGCTTTTCTTTGGGAAGTGTTCTGCAGAGGAGAAAAAACACTGGAAGATCCAAAAGTTGCATCGGTCTTTATTAGGGCATTTTTCTCACCGAAGGCTTTTTGCTCTGTAGTCGAACGTGACAAGGTTATCCTCCAGGATGACAAGCAGATTTTGACTAATGAAGGCTCTTTCCTGATACAATTGTAAATAAGTGGGAAAGCTTTAATGGTGATGTCTGCCAGTTGAAGTACCATACTGAATTTCTTCTTTGTTCTCTGTCTTTCAGGAGCTGTATAGAAAGATTATCAAAGCAATTGTAATGGTTATGGCTTCTCCATTCTCCAGAAATATATGGAGGTATAGACACACAGTGCTATTACCTTGGGAAAACTATTAGAGGTTGCTTCATGCAACGATAAGGACTTTTATTCATCGAGAGTAATTACCTCTATCTTCATAAGAAGTGAGAAGATGACAGTAAGAATTACTGTGTCACACAGAGAGGTGATGATGGCAGGAGCGTCACTGCCTCAGCTGGAGTGAGAGCTCCAGAATTATTGTGGACATATCCCAAGGTTTCAAATAGCAAGAACCCTGGTAGTTCTACCTGGCATTGCCATTCCATTGGAATCCCAGAAGCTGCTCTGCCATCTGTCCATATGCTGAATATCATCAGCCTGTTATAAGCATGAGTCAAAGTGGTAAGTGTACAACTTCATATTTGTGATTTTTTTTTTTTTTTTTTTTTTTTTTTGGTGTTTTTCTGTTCCTGTGTGAAAGTATGACAGCATAGATTTAAAGAGAGAAAACATTCTGTGTAGATACTGATGCTGGTTGTGGGAGTTCTCCCAAAAGAAGGTTTGCATGGTGGCTGAAAGCATAAAATTGTAGCAGATCATCTCTGTGGCAGTTCATTGCAATGTTGTGCTGGTAAGAATGACACTGTGAGATGGAGGATAAAGTAAAGTTAAACCACTTTATTGCTGGCTGAGTAAAATTGCATTGAATTACAGGCATTTACTATGACTTGGTTGAAGCGTTATGGCCGTGTAGATTTATTTTTCCTGTGGGTTTCTGGGTTTTACTAAATTCAAATATGCTCAAGGTTTTGGAGGCAACTGGACTGAGCATATCAGCCTCTTGTGATGTCCTGTTAATTTCTGCTACTGTTGTTGCATGCGACCCATTCTTTCTGCAAGTTGGAGTGTTGCTGTAGGAAGGCTTGTTGGTGGATTTCCAGTTATCTGCGTTCATGGATCAAACCTTTGGAGGGAATGGGAAGCAACAGTATCCTTGTAATGGCAGCAAGAGACAAACTTGGAGTGTTTGATCATGTATTGTAAGGTGTGATGATGCACAAATACCAGGGCTGGAATGTATAATCTGAGTTTTCACACTTGTATGTTGTGACTTAAATTCCCTTAAAAACAAACAGCAATCTTTGCCTTTGTATGTACTTTGCAAACACAAAATGTCATTTCCAGAATTTCATCTACATCCTACTTGTGAGGAACTCAAAAACCTGGAGCTTGCTGTAGTCTCTGACATTGTAGTAGTTCTTTTGGTAATATTTCCCCCCCACTCAGCTGAGGAGGAGGGCAGATTTCAGGATGTTTAATGAAAAGAAAATGGCATTTCAGTCTTCAGTAATGTAACGCTGCATAGAGTTATCACTTATCAACTGAAAACAACCTGGTATCAAGCACACAGAATATAGAAACTGCAAATGGAAAATTCTTCTTGCTTCAACCCACTTCCTTTTGTTGCACCAGGAAGGGAAATATTTGTATGGAAGATACAGTTCTTACGGTGAGTGACAGATTACCATCTTTGCCCGTGCACGTGAATTCTTAATATATCTTCAGAAATATTCGGTTGAGCATGTGGGTGTCAAAATAAAGCAAAATAATACGTAGTTCTTCCAAACAGCTTTACTTTCAGGAGGCTTATTGGTGGTGTCAGTTGTTACATGATGAGATACACACTATGCAGTTTGTGCATCCACTCTTTTTGGAACTAAAAAAGAACCGGTATTCAATATTCAATGTGAGTTACAGTCATGATTGTCAGATCAAAGTAACATCCTGTCAGTTCTAATTTGCTGCTATTTTCCTGAAATTTTAAAGGGCAGAATCCTTCAGTGTTCCTATTCAGGTGTCAGATTTGCATTATAACAAATTCAGCCTGTTACCTTCTGACACCCTGATACGCACAGCCAAAAAATATACATTATTAAAAATTATGGAACATGCCCAAAAATATCATGGAAAGTGGCAAATAGAAATGATTGTAACTCCTAAAACTACTGAGCTGATTCCATTCTTTTCTTGGCTTTATTTTTATGTTTCTGTCAGAATACAAGATAAGTGAAAAACCAAACCTGAGGTTGACATCTCAGTTACTTTTAACTAGGTTTAAATTCCAAATGATTGAAGTCAATAGATGAAAATTGTCCTCGTACCTGTCTGAATTTGTTTACTCAAATATCATTTTCCTAAATACACTGGTTGCTACATCATTGGTTGCTTTAAACTTGTGGGTCTCTGTTGGAAGTGATAGAGTTGGCATACTGACATTGGAGATGGGTCTTCCATGTTAAGAATTTGTATGTGTGCATTGTTTTGCACATGTTGGTCCAAGCACGTTAGCAAGGCTAAGTACCTTATAGCTGAAAAGTGTGCGCAGAAGTTCTGAGCTGAAAAATATGAGCTATGAAGCTGGAAAGAAGTGGTTGTGTTTATGGTAGTTAAGGCTGTTTGAGATGTCACTACTCCAGTCTTGCAAAGATACCATAATATGTAGACTTGAGAGCAGGAGCCACGTGTGGGTATGTTGTCTACATCAGTGCATGGTTAGGGAATTTTAAATTAAATAGATTTTTCAGCAATAGGTTAAACAAAGAGAACTGGCTTCTCATTAAGCTGTGTAAGTAGCACTTTCAGGTTGCTTCTGCTATCAGTGTGAAAGCTTCTCACTGTTCGGTGGTAATAAGCAGCAGGGGACGATAACAGCATAAGCTGCTCCAGGACTATTTTCAAGATGATGTCTAGAAGCAATCTCGATATAAGCACCAAAGTGCCATTGTGTTTCTGGGATTAATATGGGCATACATTCATCTGCTTACATTCCCTCCAATTTATTTCCCTGCAAGTTGCAAAACTACGGAACAAATGTTTCAAACAGAGAGAATTCTAAGATCCGAAAAGAATAACAACATAAGCAGAAGGCGCTCACTGATGCCAGTAAATTCTTCATGGCTGTGACTTATTCATAAACATGAGCAGATAAGTATTCAAGGGGAAGAAAGGACTAATTTTTAAGTGATGGAGGCAAAATTTCTTAGCACAAAATACACACAGGGCTCCTAGGCAAATCTAGTGATAAGGGTAAAGTGCTGTTTGGTAGAGAAGGAGCTGAGACAAATTTAATGGCAATGGAACAATCCAATGCACACGGCCAACACGTGTTTTATTTTAACAGAGGCATTTAGGCTGATCTGCACATTTCCTAGGGTTAATAAAGGTGAGTCTCAGTGGCTCACAGGCCTTCTTTATAGCTCTCAGCTAGGTCTGTGCCTTGTACAAAGGACAAGAATACAGTGCTGGAAGCTAGCTTAAAGGATTGTTCCCTCATCCTACAACAGTCAGTGGGGGTAAAGCAGACGGCCATCAGGAAGTGAGAAGGAAGACTGCAGACAACAGTCTGTGATAATCAGTATTGGTTTTTGATTCTAACAGATGGGATTTGTCCAAGTATGAGGCCTGATGCTGCTTTAGAGTGTGAACAGTAAATGGTGTAGAATGGCTTTATTAGAATCATTAGGATTGAAGAAGACTTCTATGATCACTAAGTCAAACCCCAGGCCATCCCACCATGCCTACTGATCAGTCTTTCAGTGCTGCGTTTCCAAGGTTCTTGAACACCTCCAGGGATGGAGACTCCTCCACCTCCCTGGACATTCTGTGCCAATGCATCACCACTCTTTCCAAGAAGAAATTTTTTCTTAATATACAACCTGAACCTTCCCTAGTGCAGCTGAAAGTCATTACCACTTGTCCTATCAAACCTGTATCAGAATGGTTCTCTTTTTTGTTTGTTTTTTTTTTTTTTTTAACCTCCTGTTCTGTCAACTGTGTCAGAAGAGCAAGTGTGCAGTGCACCAAGGAACCAGATCTCTGTATGAGAGATTAAAAACGAACAAAACATAAACAAGCTTCCAATGGGGTGGTGTGTATGTCTGTGAGAAGAGTTTTGCAATGTGAAGTAGCCACTGCATCAAAGACCATGCCTTTAAAATGTTCTGACAAAAGTGAAAGGAAGGATCTCTGTTTCCCATTTTTTATGGAGGGGAATAGAGATTCATGCTGAGGAATAGACTTGTCTGTGCTTTTGTCTGATGTCTCTGGCAGAACTGTGAATTTGGGAAGCTGGTTTCAAGTCCCACTTGTGCGCAGTGCGTAAAACGAAGCTATTCTTCCTCACGCCTAATCAGCTAGCCATTATGGGGCTAGAGCAGGAAAAGACAGGTTGGAACAGGATGCCAAACCAATGCAAAGATTTGTTGGCAATTTCCTTTCTTACTTAACTGCATAAATAATCAAATCTGAACGCTGGAAAAGCTCAGATATTTCCCTTGGGATGTAGGCTTGCCTTGCATGTTTAAAATATTTATTTATTTGAGCTGTCAATGTTTCTAACTCTATCAAGGCTGAAACAACCACGGAACCCGCAGATGAAAGATGAGACCTGAAAAGGGAAAGAAAGCAGTGTGTTAGGTCCATTTAATTTAAATGCACTGTATTAAATCTAAAGCTGTCTCCACAGTGTCTGTGCAGTTTGGCTCCTTATTAGTATTACTAAGAAAGGGAAGATATTTTAGAGCAGGCATGGTTTAGATTAAGTTAATTTAAGTTAGTACAGTGGTTTAGAATACCAAGGCACTTTTGTACTGATCTCATTGTACTCCACTGCAAGAAGAGCAGTTGGGTGTGTGACAGCAGTACTCTGAAATGATAACTGAGCAACTCTGCTTCCATATTTCCTGAGAATATGGAATAGGTTTTGCCTGGTGGTGCAGAGAATAAAGAACAACGAAGGGCAACGCAGTTTGCCCTGAGACAGCAGTAAGTAGGTCAGCAAGGCACGGTCTTGCTCCTGATGCTTGTACTGTGTGTTTTGATGGAGCACCACTGAGCTATACAAGTGGGGATCTTAATTCTTGTCCATGTGAAAAGCTGCTGCAAGCCATCAAACCTGCCGGGTGCTTACATGTATCTAAACAGCTTTGAAAAACTCATCAGGGAAGAGAACCTTTTATTTATCTGCCAGATCCTCTCAAATAACAGAGGGAAGTACAATTGTGTGAAGGATTTTCGAGTCGCCACTTCTGGTACAAAACACAACCGCTGCATTAAACCTGGTGGGAGAGGGTCCTTGTTAGAGCAGCCCTTTGTTAAAGGCTGGGATAAAAATAAAAACTGAGCTGGCCTTCATTTTGTTTCTTTGAGAGATTTTTCTTTATTTTTTGTTCTTGTTTGCGTGGGACCTTTCATTTACAGGTCAGCGACCTGTGGCTGGAATTTCTTGGTGGCACTTCAGTCAAAGCAGTAAGGCCTCATTTTGTGGTTTAATAAGATCTTAGAGCTCAATAGATTATTCATAATATCAAAGCTATTTAGAGCTAGAAGAGTATTTCTGCTCT